AGGGTCAAGCAGATTTTTCAGATCGCTTATTACAAATCCAAAGTCAAATAATTTTTTAATTTTATCGACTGATTATATCCCTACCTGCACAATGACAAACACGTCTCTATGACGTGCCAACTCGTCACACGTTACGTCGCAGCAACTTCTCGAAACGTAATAGACGTGTTGTTGACACGTGACTAACAGTAAAATTTTTTATGTCAGCAACCTCGCAGTGACGAATATTTGTGACTTTATGCAACGTGTTGAGCACCTATTTGCGACCTAAAATCCGGATTTCCATTATTGTTTTTCATTATCTGGTTAAGTTAACTTATGGTTAGACTTAACCTGATATTTTATCTAATAGGCTTCATCTATGACCATGGCATATATGAAGTCTTTGATGTCGAAATATTGAAAACCGTTAATGTAGCAAATAGGGTTAGGATCCTCAACAAATTTTCTATCGATTAGTATTATTCAGTTTGAAAATAGCGGAAAAAGAGAATATTATGCGTAGAGAAACTATACACAAAAATTATAATTATAAAAGAATAAAAAACAATTACTTTTTAAATGTACACTGTCGTTTGTACATTCAATTCAATCAGACTTCTATATTTATCCGCGCTAAACATGCCTAGCTCTGCTAACAGGTATGATCAATCAAAAAGAATCGGGATTAATGATTACATGTGTGTTAAAAAGTATTTTGATTGCTATATTATACAGGTGTTCCTAATGTAAATGTATAAAAAAAATCGTAAGATGTATAAAAGAATTTTATAAAAATAAAATTTCTCTATAGCTCCTGACAGCGACGTTCTATAAAGATTTGATAATGTGTAGAGGTTTGATGTTATTTATAAGATAATTAATACAAATTACAGGACACCGGCTATTGAATTACATTTCCAGCTGATTACATCTGTTAATTTATTGACAAGCGTCCAATGCTTGTTTGAGGTCGACTATAAGATCGTCTTTAGTTTCAAGCCCAACAGATAATCGAATCAATTGATTAGTTATGCCCAACTTGGCTCGCATATCTTCTGGCAGAGCCTCGTGCGATATTAAAATTCTAAAATAAGACAAATTGATTGAAATTATATTTTTAAATATACACATTTCTCGAATATACTTACGGCGATTCGGCTAGCGATTCTGGACCGCCTAAGGATCCACATAAAATGAAAACTTTCAATGCTAGCAAAAAGCGCTTAGAATCGCCTTTCAGATAGAAAGAAACCATTCCACTGTGCCCTGTTTGTTGTGTAAGCGCAAGCTGATGTTGCGGATGTGACGAGAGAACTGCAATGTTTAACAACACAACTATTTTATTGTAAACGTTTTATCGTCACATTAATTATTCAGACCTTATATATATAGTTAAATATGCTTCTTTTTTAAAAACGTACAAAATAAGGAGAATTATACGGTTACGTACGTGGATGAACCACTTTCTCAACGTTAGGATGAGAATCGAGGAACGTGGCTACAGCTAAACCATTTTTCATATGTTTCTCCATTCTTAGTTCGAGCGTTTTCAAACTACGATTGACTAAGGCACAGTCAAATGGTGATGGAACGATTCCCATAACTAAATTGAAGAAGAAACTGTTTATATATATAAAGTGTATATAAATAAAGTGTTTAAATGCATGGCTCAGAAAAGCTCTTGTAGATTTACCAATTTGATTAAACCTCAATTTTTGCGCGAGATCATCCCGACGAGTTATAGCGGCACCCATAATCACATCCGTATGACCATTCATATATTTTGTCAATGAATACATCACTATATCGGCACCAAGATCAAGAGGTTTCTGTATTAAAAACATAATATTGTTGCAGTTACTTTCAACATTGATCTTATACGATTGAATGTAATTTTTCTCAAACTTACTTGAAAGTAACTTGTCAAAAATGTATTATCAACGACTAGTATAATGTCTGGACGAGATTTCAGACTTTCAACAACAGCCTTTATATCTGTCAGTTTCAACAAAGGATTTGTCGGCGTCTCTAGCCATATCATCTACAATAGAACAAATTATAATGCAGAAAATACCGATGTGATATAAAAAACATAACATTTAAAATATAAAATATTAAATTCTAACACAAGGTAAGTGTAAATATACTCGGTAATATTTTTAGTTTTTTATTTACCTTTGTATTTGGTTGTATGGCATTTATAACGTTTTGTTTATCAGTCATATCAACGAAGGTAGATGTCATGCCCTGTCTGCTACTGCATTTTCGGATGTGATTATTGGTTCCACCGTACAGCTCATCTCCGACAATCAAATGATCTCCTGCCTTCAATAAACCTGTAATAGCAGTAAGAGTACCTAATCCAGAAGAGAAGCAAAAGGCATGTTTGCCATTCTCTAAAGCAGCCAAGCATGTCTCCAGAACGTTACGTGTGGGATTACCGCTTCTGCCATATAAATATTCCTACATGAGAAAAGAAACAATTAAAATTCAAACGCCTTATACAAGATTGTTGATTTTTTGCAATAATATTCAAACACGTTCAAATTCACTTAGATATTTTAAAAATAGCATATTTTAAGAATTGCAGACATTTTACCCCCATTATCTTGACGAAGTTTTTCCGAGAAAAGGTGGTAGGCTGGTATTACATTTGTCTTACGACAAAACATTTCAAGCCTATTGGTTGGCTACAAGAAAGAGAAGATGTCGTATCTCTCTATTTTATAGCCATAGGTCACTCAATAAATTTAAAATCTTTTTCGTACGATAAATACTAAAAATCATCGAGCTATTTCCACGTGGAAGTCAGGTAATTTCAGGTTAATAAAGAAAATGACCAATATTTCCCAAAATTATACTAAACGCCGCTTATAATATACAGAAATATATACTTGCTTCGATAACAGCATGTTAGCTCGCAATTTGCTTATTAAATCGCTTTTCATATAGCTATTAAATTCCTAAGTCATTCCTTTTCTTTTTTTATTTATCTATTTCTTATCTGTTTTATTTATATGTTTCTTATCTGTTTTATTTACTTGTTTCTTATCTGCTTCGTTTATCTATTTCATTTTTCTGTTATTTATTCGTTTCGACAGAAAGTAATATAAATTGCTTTACAAAAAAAATATTCTATTTTTATAGCTTACGTGTAACCTTCACTTTATTAATGCTACAAAAGCTTAATACAATTTTTACTTAGTACAATTGACATTAATTGACTGAATAACAAGGAGTAATTGTTAGGAGCTATATGTCGATGAATTTTGATGAACCAAACGTTTTCCAAGCAGAACAACAAGTTGTTATGATATCAAAATGTCAAAATGACTCCAAAATAATCATTAAAAGTCATTTTTCAATCATTTCGGATTCATTTTACGTTATTGTTGTTCTACTTGGGTTAGTATACTTACTCCAGTCGGCGCTGGATCATCCTGCTTAAAAGTGGCGGACATCACCAAAGGTGGTACAACTGAACGATGATTCCACTGATCAGGATCTTGCCCCGCATGGATAGCTGTCGTCGCGAAACCTTTTTTCGTTGACGTCATCGTCTATTTAGTAAAAAGAAATGTTCTATGTATATTGATTAAAAATATAATTGATTATTAATCTGCTGCAATTAATAGAAATATTGTTTAATAAAACTCTTGTTTAGGGAACCCCGTTCGTATCACTTTGATCTGGACATATACAGGATCCTCTAAACAGGAGTTTTACATATATCGTTGATCTAAATATCAAATATTAACAGACTCACAATTTTAAAAATAAAAACAAACAATAAATTCAAGGCTAATTCGAGTCAAGGCCGGTGAAGGTGTCAGAGATTAAATTCCAATCCAAAGATTAATTTCCATAGTGTTTAATCTTTTTTATTAAACGTTTCGGCTCTCTTTGTAGCCATCATCAGTAATGATACATCTCTTAAATCGTAATAATTGATCCTTCCGTCAAAAGTGAGTCACTATCAAGTTCCCAACTGCAGTGGAATCTCAAACGGGAAGTTCAACATTTAAATGAATCTTTGAAAGTTTCCATTACCACTAACTTCAAATTACTTTTTAATGTTTAAACTATTTTCAAACTTATTATCTATATTAATAATGATTAAAATTTCAATCGCATTGATCAGATAGTCAGAAGCGTCTAACGGGCGCTAACTAATTTCAATTGATTGAAATTTTGCTGACTCACTTTTAACGGAAGGATCAATGATTACGATTTAAGAGATGTATCATTACTGATGATGGATACAAAGAGAGTCGAAACGTTTAATATAGAAAATTAAACATTATGGAAATTATAATCTTTGGATTGGAATTTAACCTCTGACACCTTCATCGGTTTTGACTCGAATTAGCCTCGAGTTTATTTTTATTTATATGGTTGAACGATTTTTTTTATTGATATATACTTATTAGTAACAATAATACAATAATAACGTTTGGCGCGCGTAATTTTAATTTTTTAATTTTTATTAAATATTTATTGCGTCTTATTTTTTATGTTACCTTTTATGTCATTTTAAATGCAAGTTAAATTGTTATCGTACGTGTCGTTCGGTCTTTCATCCACGGAGCTAACGTATGTAATAGACTAATTAATTAAAATTAACGTAATTCTAACAGAGAGATATAATTCTAACACAGTAATTCTATTTATACTAGACAGCGCGCACGATAACAACTTGTAATTCAAGAGATAACACATTTACCTGACGTAAAAAGTGAGATGCTATAAATCTTCGATAATAATTAAAAAATTAAAATTGTTAAATTCAAATTAGGAAACAAAATCTTGTCTCGTTATTTATACTTTAAGAAAAGAAAGAGAAGTATTCTTTTTTTTTAGAAATCGGAGCGCTCTGGAATGTTATGAAACGCTCCGAATAGCGTTCGTAGAATTTAAATTTAGTTGCGAGAGCATTCTGAGGTGTTTTTTCGTTATCCAGCCAGAAGCTATCATAGCTGAGGTTATCTTTATCTTCAAAAAGACAAAGATAGCCTTAGCCGTGGTTGCTTCTAGTTGCATAACGAAAAACCGTCACTGTTTGAGATTTTCCTCGGCTACACTCGTCTAGTTCGGATGTTCCTGGCCCAGTGGCAAAGAATGTAACTGATTAAAGGGACTGTATTCTAAAACAATGGTTATATTTGACATTATACAGTATTAATTTAACATTATATAGTGTCAAATTTAATTATCATTTTAGTAAAAAATAACGATATATTTAGTAGGAGCAGTGGCGACTCACATTGAGTTAATTTGACCCTATAAAATTTAACAGTGCAGGTGCGAATTAACGAGAATCTACTTGAGGGTCACTAGCAAAATTCACTCACAATATCGATACCGTTGAATATCTGCTGAAACTAATGTCGAAGTAATCTGACCGATGACGAGCTACTTAAATAACTTATGTTGACAGCCGCGTGATAAAGGAGAAAAAAGACAAAGTCTTTTGCACTGTGGTGGGGAGTTGACCTGTTCGTGTTATTTGCACTTTTCGCACTCAACACCTTCGCTTTCCTTCTCTTCAACGCTCGAATACATACTTATCTCATTTTAAGTGCAAAAATTTTTTAGGATTTCAAGCAAAGATTTTGAACAGACCTGTACTATGATATAATATCTGATGCAATGATACATCGCGATATAAGCTAACATGAAATAGAGATGTGCGATACGCACGATGATATGTTCGTTACGCGAAAAACAATTTTTTTTACAAAAATGTAGATTATAAGTCGTTTTTAAAAAGGCGATTT